CTATAACAGCACTTGACCACCACGCACAAATGTTTAAACTTATCAAGATTACATACAGACTTGTTCTTATACCAACAGCCTTTACTACTGATATTACCCAAGTATCTGGTAACAATTTTTGTACCTTCTAACCCAACAGTTACTTCTCTCCCACTGTCTAACTAGTATCATTCTGTTGTGTCTAAGGCAGGCCCTCATGAACATAAAAAGGAACAATTTATTTTAGACAGCAATGCAGAGTACATTTACCATGCAACTGATAGTACCAAACCACGGAGATTCTCATGTAGAGAATGTAATACTTAGTATTCATTTCACACTGGCCATAACCTTTTAAAATCAACACCTTTCTCCATAGTGCGCTAATACATAACTTATACATACACTGGCTAATAGTTACCCTGTGAGAAAAAAGTTTGACTTCCAGTTTTAAAACTGGAAGTTTTAACTAGACTTCAGCTAAAAAACCAGAGGCACAAAAGAAATTAGAGAGCATTAACAATACTGAACGTCTGCCTTCTTTGAAACGTTAATGCAGCAGTTTCAGAAGTCAGATAATCCACAGCTGAACAGATCTTTTGTTTCTTTCAAAAAATTACCTCAAATGAAAAAATAAACTCTGACAATATATACCCCTTGTTGCTATAGACATGTATTATAGTAACAGCCTGTTCTTAGCAAAACAGCAGCATTTCAGACACACTGCCTGCCATTCTTTTGTTCTGCTTTCCAGATGGGCAAGTACAAGAGTCTTCATTCACTTGTAAAGACTTCCATACATTATTATTAATGACCTACAGAGTTATTGAGAGATATTAGAAAAATCAGACCATAAAAGTTAAATAGTTCTTAGTCTTCAACAAGAACAATACATAACTTCTTTAATGTCTACACAGACACCTTATTGCAAAAGGCAGCTGAACCATACTGTAAATACCTGCCTGTCAAAGAAATACAGTACTTTAGAAGGTTTCACTAGTAAGGTTTTTAAATTTGAAAAATTAAAAAAAAAAAAAAAAATTACTGAGCTTTACTGTTCAATACTCGAGCCAGCAGCTACGAATTCCCCACCCCACCAGTCCTTCCTTACTACCTAGTAGGAAAGCACGCAGAACATAGGTGCAGTTAAATTATAGGCACTTTGTATCAAATACATTCACAGCTCATCTTCTTACCATGACAAAGACTGATAGCATAAAAGATGAACAAGAAAAAAAAATCAATAAAAAATATAAAACTGGTTTCTACTAATTTCAGAAGTCTTGGAGCAATTTCTGGTAAGAATTTAGACACAGTTTAATTCGAAATACTGCACTTATGATAATGTATTGGTTTTTCTTACAATTAGTACGTGGATGTTAAGAAAATACACTTCCAACTAAAATTTTATTAGAACTACAGTCATTTAAAAATCTATTTGTAGGTTGCTCATTCAGCTGAGTAGAAATTTCTGCGTATGTCTAAATGATCTCAAACTTCATGAGGAGAGCATGCTCACAGTTACTGAGTAACAAAATTATGGCAGAAAAGACAGCAATATGCATAAAAATCTATTGATATATTAAACAAAACCTTAAACGAAAGCTAAATAATGACAAGACTAAACTAAGTGACATATTTGAACTAATTTAAGAACCCTTATTAACAGGTTTTGGACCCATTCCCCTGAATAATTTAAAATGTTTCAAGAAAGCCTCAGAAGTACATAAAATGTTTTTTCCTTGTTTAAGATTCCTCCCTTTTTTTTTTTCCTACCACCTACATGTTACTACACATTCACAGGCATGTTCACTAAAAAGCATATTAGAGAGTAAAGTTACAGATCACAAACCTGCTTTAAGAGTAGATTCTCCCCAAAGGAACAGTTTTGAAATGTTAACGTGTCCTCATACAAGTCAAAAAGTACTTTTTATTAAATACAAAGAATTAATACTCTTAGCTCAAAAGTCCTGTGTATAGAAATTGCACATCTATCACATTTCATGTATTTTCCCCTTTTTATTTCAGGCAGCACAACCATTAAAAGATCCCCTAATTTTTTTTTCACTTAAGAATGTCTTCCATCTTCCTGTCATTCAAGATGCAGAATAACAAGACTCTTATAGCAGAAATTAATTTCAAATAAAAAAAGGAAAAAAAAGGAAAAAAAAAATCTAAGTCACAGTATCATTAGAAAATAAGAAAAACAGACATTGTAAGTAAGTAAGTAAACTTGTAGTAGGCAAATACTTTGTAGCAGACAAATGCCTCCTTGCTCCATCAAGGGTACTCAAAAGATCAGAGTAAGAACTAAGATGATCTGTTAAAAACATTTAGAAGGTAAGATAATGTGCTGCTCAATAAATTTACTTGCTGTCAGGAAGATATTTTGGAAAAATAACCTTATTTTCTTCTAGAACTATTCAGTCACATGTTAATGCCTCTGCCTCCTCCCCATGCCACCCCCAAATAAACTGGTATTTCACAGGGGCTAGAGGTGTTTCATTCATTTGGCTTCAGGTTATTTCACACTAAGCATGAATAGTAGCATAAATTGTGGAATTAACAGTTCTTATTTGTGAAAAATGAAGTTCTGCTTCTATAAAATAATGGCTCTGCTTAGAAATCAGTGAAATAAAAGGGGGTACTATTTTCTTTTCACAAGTTGCTTCTGAAACCATTTTTTAATAGTTACTTGCTACACATATATGCATATATACATGTATGCATATATCCACGAGAAGACTAACTGGGAAGGCTATTTAATATAATTAAGTCCACACTTAACTATAAAACCATCAGTCAAAATACAGTAAATCTTGTGTGAATAAACAAAAAACAGCTAAGGAAAAGACTACTTCACCATGATAAAGAAAGCCTACAAATGTAGATTTCTGTAAGCCTGGAAGCTAAAAGGCTCCAGACAACTGGAACTGCTAGTACAGCGAGTAACTATTTATCAGAGAAACCTATCTGCTCACAATAACATACTTCAAATTTCTTCCACCATCAATAGCTGTTTTACACCTCCTACAATGGACCCTTCTGCCACCTGCACAATGTGCAGGTAAACACTTAGAAGGTAAGATAACGTGCTGCTCAATAAATTTTCTTTACTTGCTGTCATGAAGATATTTCTTTTTTATAAACTTTCTCCAGTTTATCCTCTTACAAAAGTACAACCACTGCCTATAAAGCAACACTGTCTATATGGGCAGATCTGCATTTAGAATCTCCTGTTCTATATAGGAAGTGTTAGCTGCTCCCTGAATTTATCACTTTTCCCTACTATGTCTTTTGCTATTTTATATGGTTACATTTGGTTTTCACAGCTGGGTAATGTCCCTAACTTGTGGGTTGCTATCTCTCATTAGTTAAGCAGTTAAGATCTCTGCTTTACACTTACTGGTTATTTCACAATGCTAGTCTATAGTATGCTGACTTTGTATAACTATTTACTAAAACCAGACATTATATATACCCTGATGACCTTCTCCAATTAGCAAGCATATAAGACTCAACAGTCATTCTGCAACTTGATTTTCCATCCGGGAACAGGAATAAACAATGTTATGTCTTGCAAAGAGTATCTCTAAAGACTCCCCGCTGCAGAGCATTCCTACTAAATCATCCAAAAAAAAAAAAAAAAAAAGTCTATATGAATCCAGAGTATTGGAAAGTATGCTTCCCTAAAAAGAAGAGTACAAAATTTTGAAAGCTACCTAGGGAAACATTATCCGGTCTGTCATCAATTAATATATGATCCTGAATTTTAAGTAAAAAAAGGTAGTATTTAAAAAGTATAAAAATTCATTCTAACACTCACTTTCAAGGCAACAAAATGAAAGTGGTACAGACATGCTCATTTTGTATTTCCCGGCTTTCAGAGATGACTTTTCAGCTTAAACAATATTTTATTTTAAGTTTAAGCATAACTTTAAAATCACTGTTAAAAAATCCACGTTGCCTTTGATAATAAAAAAAAAAATAGAAGTGTGGATAGAGAAATCAACTATTAGTACTCCATTTTATATGATCAATTTCTACATTATTAAAAAATGGAAAAAAAGTAAGTAACTACATGAACTATGAAAAACTATTCCAGGAATCAAAGCAACACTTTCAAGGAAAGTATGCAAGATTTTTTTTTTCCCTAGGATATAACTGTTTCAGGGAAGATTTGTACTTATTTTCATAGTTTAAGAGGCTTCATATCCTGCTAACTGACGGCACACAATTTTGTGAAAGGTACAAAAATATGTGAGAAGTTTTAGATATAGCTCACATGTAAAAGCAAAAGGTGATAAAAGGATTAAGGCAACGAATACTTCTGGGTGTAAAAGCACCAGGGGGAGTGAAATGAGAAATTAAAAACTTACACTGCATTTAAACTTTTTAGAAAAGTATTAAGATGCTTAAAATTAGTAATCAGCAACATATACTGTATGTAAATACTGGAAGTAAATAAAACTGGGACTGAAGGAGTTCAAGTATCATAGCACTTTAAACAAAAATGTGATTAGTAGTTTAGCAGTTTGATCATTTATAGTGCTTATTCAAGGAGATCACACTGGGAATAGTCTAAGACTGCTTAGTTTTAGGTATACCCATATGCACACACATCCTGTGATATTTAAGCTTATTTAATAAGCCTTAGGATTTCACAGACACACTTTAAAGAGTAGAACAAAGATTCGTACAATATTAGAAAACTATATACATTATCCACTGACTCACGGGGCTTTCTTCTGCTTTATGTGGAACATGTTGCCCAGAGAAGCTGTGGCTGCCCCATCCTTGGCATTGTTCAAGGCCAGGCCAGATGGGGCTTGGAGCAACCTAGTCTAGTGGAAAGTGCCCCTGCCCATGGCAGAGGGGTTGCAACTAGATGAGCTTTAAGGTTCCTTCCAATCCAAACTGTTCTACGATATTATTAAATAGACTTATCCCCCTAAATCAGAAAACCATCAAAAACTGATCCTGGAATACATCACAGTAAAAGGCATGATACTGCTTTTTACCTCCAGATCCTAGCTGCTTGTAGAATCTGTACTCCAAATGTAGCTGTGGCGCTCTCGACTTCATTGGCTCCTGATTTAAAAACAAAAACATCATTTAAAACAAAGCCCCTCTGCCAAAGCCTGAAAACTAATACAGTTACCTCCTACCAGCCAAACTAACCCTAAGGCTTCCAAGTTACATGAAAAGGTTGAACGTTTCTTCCAAAATGACTGGAAATTAAGCAAGTAAAAAACCTAAACCTCAGTCAGGTGAGACCAGAGCATATAGGGGCACTTACATCTCGTATTGCTCCACAGACCTGGGGTCCAACATGCAAACCCAATCATAGGCCCACAATGGAATAGTTAAACAATAATCTATCTCTCCAAATCATATGGGTAATGTGTCATGCAGCTTTCAAAAGGTGACACTGATAAGCAGCTTAACAGATCAAAAATACTCTCCATAAACCTAGTATACATAATAGCTAAATCTTAATAAAAAAAAGTTTTGCCCTAGGATCTTGGGGGGAGGGGGAGATGGCCACACACAACAACACAAATCTTTCCACCAAAGAGTAATAGTTTAGCAGAAATCAAGTAGCATTATTGTACGCTGTAAATCCAAACCAACAAAAAATGTGTCAGAATAAGTTTTTAAAGCTTTCTTCTCCCCACATAATTTAGGTAAATTAATGAAATCTTAGTTCTGTGTTCTACATACAGATGTAACAGTCTCACAGAATAAAGTGACTGAGATCAAGCACACTAACACACAAACAGCCTAAATGAACGCACTCACTTCTCGAGTATTTCCCTTAGCAGCGTAAAGATACTTATCACAAGATTCTTAAAACAGTTTCCTACATCATCTTTTAGAATATATGCCCAGTTTCTTGCAACAGGTAACATCTTCCAATGCATCCGTATAATCCGGGCATTAACAGCATATTATTGAGTAAGGTGCTCTTTTATGTTATACTACCTTTTTTGTTATACCCTCTTCTCTAGAAACCAACAGCTCATTGCCTGGTGTTGTTTCCCAGTGGCACATCTAGGCCATAGAAAGCATAGGACAATGTGCAACCATGAGAAACTTACTCCTCCTTCTCAACCCATCTCCTTCCAACATGCAGGTGTTTAAAACTGCACTACTATTACAGCCAAGCAGTACAAGTAGTACAAGTAGTCCCTGCTGCTGTACATTTATGCATTTGATTTTGTCAGGATGCCAAAGGTTGTGGCCTAGAAGTAGAGAGGCTCAGTGTAACAGTTTCTAAGATAGATAGATAGAGTAAATAAATAAATAAAATGCAACATATGCTTTTTGTGCTCCAGTGCATTCATTCTAGCTGCACACTGGAATTCTTTGCAAAAAAGGAGCAAGAACTTTTTAAAACAAAGAGGTGCTGATCCTTCACAAACTGAATTACTAAGGCAAGACTAACTGAGCCACCAAAAGCTTGAAGTTTATAACAACACATTTACGGCCAGGTATTAAAGACAGATATCTCTTAACAAAATGCTTCACTGAAAACGTGGGCCTGATCAAATCAGCATAACTATCAACCTTTAGTACTCAGCTTTCAGCGGTGTAAGTAAATCCACTATGAAGCATGCTACTGAAACGTTTTAACCTACTCCAAAACCACACAAGCGTAATTACAAGTTTGTCTTGAGTATTACACAAGCCTGTATACCACTCTCTACACAGTTTCTAAATAAAGCTTGTAATTCTGCCTGCTAAGAAAAAAATATTTTAGTTCATAAAACTGTCTGCTGCATGTCTGCTGAATATAGTAAGACAAGACACTGGCTCATCAGCAGTTTGATTTTGTTCAATTGTACAGTTTTGCCTTCAAGTGATAGTACATTAATAACTTAATTGCTGCTCAATGTTACAAGATGGTCTCACTAGAAGGGTGAAAAATAGCTTGTAGATATTAAACCTATTTAAATAGAAAAAAAAAATCCTAGCGAAAGGAAGCAGCTTCCAATTTTTGACATACACATCTACACATTTTCAAACCAATGCCACCTATTCCAGTCATCAGCAGGGAACAGTTCTGATAAGGCTCCAGAAGGCAAATGTTCTAAAATAGTTAAACAAGTTTACTTGACAAGTGCACACCAGCCAAAGGCTGAAGTTAAACCCTGTCTAGCAGAGAGACAATACTTCTACTCCCTCCAGTAATGGTGAAAAAATGTGGTAATGTGTACTTGTAGTCCATTTACTGGTTAAAAGTCTTCTGGAATTACCTTATTTTTGTAAGGAGGCTTACGTGTCTTCCTTACTGTTGAGTAACTGCAAACATACTAAGGAAATACCTTACTTTCAACACAACTGTAAGCTCTTCACATAAAATTTGTTTTGTTCCTGTACATCTGACTTTGCAGTATTGCGGTGAACTACTTATAAATAAGAAAAGACAGATGGATAAGGATAAATCAAGACAAAGTAAGTTAAATCTTCCACCATAAGAGTGAAGAATACACCACCGTAACTAAACTTTTATGAGTAAGTCTAAAAAGCGACTGAAGAATTAGAATAATGGCAAACAATGGATCTTTTCATTTTTATTAGTATTTTAGCATCTAAAAATAAGTTTGTGAACACATAACTGCTCAAACATCATGTTAATCCCAGAGGACTCAGAAGCCAACTCTTGCTGATACCAAAATAAATTCATGTATTTTGTTTACTTAAAAAAAAACTCAAGTCTTCTTACTGAAATAACCAGAAAGAACTGTTCCAGGATTTTTGTAATGTTCTGTACACGACTTCCACTACGCTACTTTTACATTCAAGTCTAATAACTTCAAAGTTTCTATATTAAAAAAAATAGCTTCTTTTGTCCCAGCAAAACAGCATTTCTCTCTCTCAATGAGGGACTGAGGGTTCTGCTGCCTTCAAAGAACTGATACATAATTTACTAAGCACCAGCTACTTAAGCAGCAGAAACAAAAAAATCCTCAGTTCCTCAGAAAGGTTCTTTTGAACCCAGTGTTTTCTATGCTTTTTTTTCTTTTGTAGGATGCATTCAAACAAAAGGGTAAAGACACCTGAAATGTGAAATCTGTTCTAAGTTCATAATGTGTGGCAGTTTTCTGCAGTTATTTTTGTGCCCAATACAAGGCGCAAACTACTATACAGTTTTCAAGACATGCCACTTCCTTGCTGAAGGGCTCTAAGAAAAGAGGCAGTTTACTTACTCTGACCTTAGGGTTAGAAATTTTCAAGAGCTCTAGCATTAACCCAAAGCACAATATAAACACAGTTAATACTTACTTTTTGTGCTATTAGTAATCCAATGAGAACTCAGTATCTCTCTCTACTTCATACTTTCTTAAGCAACAGGAAACAAAAGCTATTTCCAGGAAAAATACCTTTAAGAGACAGGGCTCTTGTTACAGGAACAGATCAGTTTAATAAACAGAGTTCCACTTGATTTAGATTTACTACAGCCTGCAAGAGAGGTTCTGAAATGGCATCAATCTAGACTGCAATGATTTTGTTGCAACAAAAAAGGATTAAGTAAAACATTAAAAAAAAAAGCCACCACAAAAGCATTCCAGCCTTGGAAACAACCACTATCTTCTTTCCACACCCTCCACTTAGAATTTTAAGGACTAAAATTTTAACAGTTACATAATTAATGAATCAATGAGTTCAAGATTACAAATTAATGAGCAGTACCTCATGCTTGCTATCTTTCACATTAAGACAGAAAGAAAAATAGACCTATTTCCAGAAGCAGATCAAGCAGAATTTCTTTATTTAGTATTTCTGTAGTAGCTAAGCATCCTGCAGAGGAGGTAAGTCTGGGCTATGTAGAAAGTTGTCAAAGGGAAAGGCAAAAAGAATGAGGGAGAGGGAAGAGCTGAATATAGAATAGGAGGTTTAAGTGAAGTAGAGGATTATATAATAGAGGAAGCAAATTTAATAATGAAGAGTGGAGGAAAGGTATAATTCACGTATATCAAACCCTTGCTGAAGAACTACCTGATCACAAGAAACCAATCTGTATATTAATAGACCAGCAGAAACATACAAACACCACTAGACAGTGCACAGCTGATAAAGTCCAGGTCTTAAGGGTTTCATTCCAGTTCTTTAAAAAGTCTATTCCAATCTTTCAAAGCTGAGTATCTGCCCAGACCATGATGAAAGAGCCAGATTAAGAGTAAGATCCTGGGACTGTACCCATTTTACCAGAATAGATATATGCCTTTACATAGAAACTTCATATATTAAAATGCATACATTGTATGACCCTCAGGCCTCACACAAAAAAACTGATTCAACAATTTCCTTAAACCAGTAGGTCATGAAGTTGCCATAAGCATCATAAACAGGAACACACAGGTATAATTTTGTCCATAGGGGAAATATTAACAGAATGTAAAGTTTAAGTCAAAAAAGTAGTTATAAAATCCATTTACATTTAACATCAGAAGCACTCCTGCAAGCTGCTGTATAAATGCAGTCATGCTCTTGAGAGAAACCTATACAATCCTCCCGCACTAGAGTACACTGTTACTGTTTATACACAAAACATCTGGCATAGGTAATGTCTTGCTGCTCAGAAGAAAACAGTAAGTCAGCAACGGAATGCTACCATGATGAATATTATTTTAAGATGCTGCAGGACAGATATTACCACAGCCATACATGCCAAGGATAACTGCGCAAGCTAGAATACATACATAATTCAAGTAACCCATTCAAGTGGGCCAAACCTGAACTATAGAGGTACAAAGCAGAGGAAATTAAGAGTGACTCATTTAGAATAACAAATACTTAACATAGGCCTAACTGCTCTCAAAGCACAAAGGGAATAAACCCAGGGTTACATTTTAAAAGGGAGAGGACTGTACATCACAAGCAAATGCAACCTACCTAGCTGTTAGTAAAAAGTCTTGGCACTGTCTCCAATAGGAGAAAAAAGAAAAAGGAAAAAAAAAGCAAAATTCAACTAAATCCTACTGTTTGATGCAGCTGCCTTTAACAGACTGAACCTTGTAGAGATGAAAGATACAAGAGAAAGAAAAAAAAAAGAGGAAGAACCATATTAAAAGAACCTGCTAGTTCTACCTGATAGCAAATGTATTTTTACCTTACAATGATGATGCAAGCTCCAGTGCTGATTTTCACTGTGATCCCTTCCATCTGTTGTTTATTGCAAAGACACTACAGTTTTTCATACCACTAATGTAAAGAGGATAACTCAAAAAATTAACTACATATTCAGAGTTCAAGCACTAGTACTAAATTACAGACCTACTTTACTACACTGGTCCTCTAGTGACTTTGAAGTAAATTATTCAATAATGATGCATCAAGCTTTTTCTGCAGTTCTAAGATTGAGTAGTCTGGAAACAAAGTAAAAGCTGAAAAGCATCTTTTAATGTTTAAAGGGGCTGAAATAATAGCCGAGTTTATTAATAGTTACATATATAATGAAATGGTTTCACCTAAACCCACTGATCAGATTAAAAAGTTCTCTTGCTCCACATCATGAGGTAATTAGTGATTAAATAAAAATCACTACCTTGCAAACTATGCCTGAATGTGCTTCATAGTAAACAGCCTTTAACTAGAAGAATTTTCAGACCACTTTCAAGTTTTACTAAACATACAGAATAAGTTCAAGATATTTTAAAGCAAAATTAATTTAAATCTGGTGTAACACACACATACACATCCTCAAAACTGCATCCACTGTTTCTCCTTCGAACTGTAAGCTTGAATGCTTTGAAATCTGTTAACTATTTTTGAAATAAAAACTGATATTGCTACACTTGCTTAGAAAAGTATTTACAAATATTTTTCAGGAGTTTGTGGTATGTATTTGTAACACTTTTCAGATTCCCCATCTAAAGCCATGTATTTCTATTTCCATAGTTTACCTTTCACTTTATGGAACCAGAAATTCACCATACTATTCTATGCAAAATTTTCTGTTCTATTGCAGCAAAAGCAAACTAATGGGAGTCCTAAAATTCATTCTATAACAGAAAGACAACAACTGAATTTCACCTTGAAATATACTGGTTACAAAAAAAAGTCATTTACCAAGACGTTAAAAAGTATCCAGGAGCAAAACATGAAGTAAACTGAGTAGTAGGTTGGATGAAAGCATCAGAATTAAAAGAACAATGATGTATTAACAAAGTATCCATATTTACCATGCTTTTAAGTGAAGGAAGCATTTTACACATCATTGCAAATAAAACATGTCTACCAAAACAGATGTACAATTCCAATAATTACAAATTAAAAATATTTTGGGGCAGGAATAAGAGTGTGAAAATAACAGGCAGTCTGCGGAACTTCCAGAGCTTCTCTGTAGTTACCTGAAGTTAGTTAGATTCATGTTAAATTTGGTGTTCCTCTACTTGTTGCATAGAAAAGTAATCTACTAAGATGCCTGCTGAGCTTATCCTTGATGCAGCAGTTAATCATCAACTTCACAAATACAGACATAGCTGTGAGAACAGTGACAATTAACACTGGTTTTATTCAATGTGGACCAAGAATATAATTACTACCATTAACTGCTTTCATCTAGTCAACTGAAAACATACAAGACTATTAAGGATTTCAATTAAGGAAATCAAACCACTATATATGAAAGGAAAAATATGATTAGTTTCTTATCCCAAATACTTAAAAAATTACTTACCATTTTAATTGCCACATATTCATTTGTGTATAGATTTTTTCCTTGAAAAAAAGAATAAAAAATAAAAATGTGAGACACTGGCTTTCCTTTTTAAGTAAAATGCCACTAAAACCTTGAGAAAGCCTTTGAAATATTTTTTGATTGAAGATACTAGGTATCCTAGTAGTGTTAAAAAAAAAAAAAAGTGGCTTTCTTAGCCAGATACCATACTTTGAAGAGAACTTTATTCATAAATAGTAAAAAGTGGCAGTTTCAGCTATTTCGTAATGTTCGCAAAATTTTTATACACTAGAAGAGTTGAAAATTGGTAAACTACTGTAAGTAGAATGTGATTCTATATTTCCATATTTATTGCTGAAAACTGTTCAACATTTATTTTTAAATTATCATATGGGTTTGGAACACCAGACACTGATTAAAGTTAGAATTAACTAGGATTCTTTTTTCCCCCTCAATTCTGTTATTTACTAAGCTTAAAGTTATGACAAACAGGACAAGGATATTAATGAGTTAAATGCTTATACCATTTGGAAAATGAATCTTTTGCTTTTAAAGTGATTTTGTAAGTGGATAAGCATATTTCAACAAGCATTACTTCAAATTGTATGCACTAAGTATCACACAAGCTTTACAGGTGCGGAATTAATAAATAGCAGGCAAAGAAAAAGTAAGTTGTCACTTGTAACACTTTTCAATTATCTACAGTCTTCAAATGACTTTTGTGCACATTATTTTTACTGAGGACCCTTTCTCTTTTCTTGGTACTGTTATTCAGATCTGAATATCCCATGTTTAGCTCAGTTTTGTTAAAGAAAACAGGGAGAAGATCTGGACCAAGGCAAAATGGTTCCTTGTGAAGGCAGTTACATTTACAGCCAAAGACTATGATCTCAGCTCTAACATTTGTGAAATACTTTCACAAAGCTGAAAAACAAATGCATTAAAATCAAATGACTCTTAAGGAATCAACTTTACAAGCACAAAGTTACCTGAGGACTCTACAATACTAAACATAGTATCAGCAGAGGCAGCATGCCCTAATCTGGCCACTGAAAGCATGGATAATTCCAAGACCTACCCATGGACTCAAGCTGAAATCCAGACATCTTCAGCTATTTCTTATAGTCACTTGAGTTATGTTTTCAACAAAAAGTGTGCTTTGTTTGAAGCACAACTTCACTGCTTTAACAACTTGATTCCTCATTTAAGTTTTTAAGATTCAACCCTAAGATACATGCTCAAAACATATTCCTGTTTGCAGTACATAAAACAAAGTGCTTGTGTACATCTCTGTAGGAAGGATGCCCACTTTAAGTTACTTGCTACTGTTATGTAAATGCAAAAATAAATTTAAATCAGAATCTGTAATACCACTTTTAACTCCTGCTTTCATAAACTTACATTTAAAACATTTTGCCCCACAAGTAACAACAGTACATATTTGAAATATCTGCTATATATGCAAATAAAGCAGACATTGAAAAAAAAGAAAGGCTGCACTTGTCCTGGTGGCTGATGCAGGACAGTACACTACACTATTAGTTTCCTCCTCTTTCTTTTACTTATTTGTCTTATTCTATTTCAGGACTGTCAGACTTTAAGTCTTAACTACTTCAATATTGTATTTAGAATTAAATAGATTATTTCACTGTATCTGCTGCAAGCAAATAAGTTAATTTGATATTGATCTGAAATAGTCAACTCTGTACATTGTGACCAAGATAACAGACAGGAAAAAAATTAATTTCATTATTTTACAGTTGCCTTCAGTAGTAAATGTGACATTACTGGTTGATTTAGTCCATGGAGTGGTTTAAAAGAAAAATTAATAATTCAAAGCCAGTTTAGAAAAGTTTAGGGAAAGCTGAAGGCAGTTTCAGCTTGACTTGTGACCCGCAGTGGCACATAACACTGTAAAGGTCAAAATATATCTATCTTGTTTAACTATTAATAGGAGTAACAAGAGTACCACTTATTGAGATTGTGTTAAATTCACTATCCTCAGTCAGAGCTCCAGCAATGTTATCTTTCATGTCTCTACAGTATTAATAAGCTAAACTTGTTTACATTCTGAGTCAGACTTGATAAGGCCCCCAGAAAGCACTATACTAAAAACATGTTACATTTTATGCAAGCACTATACTAAAAACGTCTGAAGGACAATGAGTAGTAGTTCTACCAGAGGCAGAAAATCAACAGAAACACAAAAGCTACACAGCCCTCCACCCTATTTTCTAATCCATCTCTCTTTAAAGCTTGAAGCAGTGCACTAACTCAAGACTTCCAGCAATACTGGAATAAAATTATGTCAAGTTACATTTACTAACACATCCAGAATCCCAGCTCTTGAAAACCCTGACTAATCATACTATCATATGTAAATTCAAGCCCCCCAAACTAAATATATATTCTTCCAAAAGCACACACCCACCATGTAGTCTCTATTTTATCAATCAGTGGGGAACTAAATGCCTGAATTACCTATCTCCCAGATTCTCTCTACAGATTCTCAGAACCCCCTGTGTAACAGCAGCTCACTCTGCAGCCTCACTACAGTGTGGCTGATGGAAAGCAAATCAAGAAATCCACGTGCTTGCTCCTATTAAAAACACTGGAGCAGCTCCTACATGAGACCTCCAAACCACAGTTCTGTAAGCTCCTACAGCAGGGGATGCGTTTCACATACACCTAGCTCCAACTACACCTAAACAAACTGCTTCAGGAGCCAGGAAAGGTAGTAAGATACACTAACCATGAAGTAATTTCCAGCATCTTGAAAAAAGCAACTGACTGAATTTAGAATAGCATAGCACATATTTACAGAAAATTTTTAGTCCCAGAAATGCTACTGCTACAGAGATTCTTATGTGATAGAACTTGCCCTTGCCAAGGTCAAGTCAGAAAAGACCTGCAAGGCAAATTTAATCTATCTGAAGCCTGAAAGTAGCTTGAAGAGCTATACTGTGTATTCATGTAGACATTTTCATGCCTGGACTGCATAAAATGGTCTCAAATAACATAAACTGAAATAATAAAAAAAGAAACTTACCTAACCGTAGTTCTCCAAAATTACCACATCCAATTTTTTTACCAACTCTGAAGTTTGGGCCAACCATTAGCACTCCAGAATTCGAAGAACCAGTTCCACGTGGATTATGGCCTGATCTCCCACTAGGCCGTGCCATTCTTTCATCTGGCTTGTCCTTGTCTTTCTTTTTATTGTCCATGCCAAGTTTATGGTACTCCACCTTGATTTCTTCTTCCTTTTAAAAATCAGCATAAGCAAATTCCAGTTGGACAATGTGAGGACGAAAACATGACTAGTGAAGTGCCCAGCTGATTACTGGCAGTAAGCAGTCAACAGCAGTGTGTTCATCCCATTCACAAAACTTTGGTAGTATCTGTAGTAAAAACATATCTCCAGAATGCACACCACCAGCAATATTTACTAGTTTTTAGAGGAATTCTGTTAAAAGAAAAACACAGTTGTTCAGTACAGTAAAAATCTTGTACAAATCCACCTCCCTTCAACTAGTCATACAATTGAGCTATAACTCATTATATTTGCTTTACCTTCATGAAAAGCATGAAGATCCTTCATGAAAAGCACTATTGTAAGGTTAAAGTCTCTGATTGTAGCCTTCATCTTTCTAGCAAGAGATACTAGCATAACTGAAGAGAGCTAAAAATTCTCAAGGTTTAATGAAACAGTTGAAAAAAATAAAACACAAACAAAGAAAGAAAACCCCATGATAAAACACAAGCCCTACAAAACTACTTCCTGAGTAGGTAAACACACTTAAAATTTACATTTAGACACTCATCACATCTTATGCCAGCTCTGCAAAAGAAAGCATTTTATCTCTTGTTCCTCCCCCTGACCAAGTAATATCTGTTGATCTAAGGAAATGCTCAAGCTGCACAGCTATTGAAGATACAGAAAGATACTCTAACTTCAAACAATTCCACTATCTTTTCTGAATTATAACTTTGGAGATGCACAATTTATGAATGCATGACAGGGACATTTCAGTTCTTTCAGTAACTCCTACAGTCCTTTGCCCCACTTAATTCATATATTTGCTTCCCCACTCCCCTTGTCCACCATTTGGCATTATTATCTAGACACTAATTCCAATACAGATTTCAGCAAAAGCATAGTAGTAAGCTGATACAATAAAGAATGCCAAAAAATCCCAAGAAACCTTTTATTTTTGTGTTATCCAAAACTATAGCAGATATTGTTTTCTATTTGCCAACAGTGGTTTAAAACCCCAAAATTAAGAAGACAGTTGGCTACTAGATGGGAAAAATTTCAGGGTAAGTTAAATATCTGTTCATAACTATTTTGCTACATTTGCTTCAATGCCAAGAATACACTGCAGTAAAAAAAAAACAACAAACCTCTAAAAAGAATGTAATTTGTGTGCTGCCTATTTTAAAGATAGTAATCAGCAGCATATTTTAAACCCTTTGATCTTAAGACCCCTTAATTTCTTAAATCCATTTCTCATAAAGTCATTACTCCCATCATAGCTTATTACAACATTTAAAAAAAAAATCAAAGAGCCAGTAAAGATACCAAAGAATATGAACAACCATAAAAATAATAGCATCTTCTGAATCATGAATATTCACAGCAGGGTCGTAACTAGGCAATATTTTAAAACCACTAAATCAACAGCTGACCAACATATAACCTGTACAATTAAAACTTGGTTTGAAAACAACCGAAAAACATAATTACAGGCTCCAGCCCAAGCAGACTTAATCCAAAGGAAAGGATTTCAGCAGTGAGTCATGAATGCAGTGGTGTGGTATGGAATACACAGAGGCATTTAAGATAAAAACACAAGCATGTTTGGCTACAATATAATCCTGACAGTTCAAGCACCACTACTAGATACCCTAAAATCCCTTTCCAAACCACTGATCTTAGAGGAATATACTCGGGGGGGGGGGGGGGTAATAGGCAAATTTTTTCTCATTCACTATGCTACAAAATCTAAGGAAAAAATAGGAAAACTAGAAATGGAGTGTGTTAAGGTAGAACTTCAAGAGCACCATTTAGTACTTAGAAAGAAGGCCAGTACATTTAATGCATCAGAATGCATAAAATACCAAAGAAAACAGACTTATGTTCTGTATCTCACTGGCTCTCCAGGAAGAAATAACAAGGTACACAACCCTAGCATCTTTAGTGCCAATACAAAGGTTTCATGGCAGATACAAGAAATTCACCTAAACACAGCATATTAGTGTAATCACCAAAGAGTAAAAAAAAAAGCAGAGTTACTAACACAATGCTTTGGTAACCTCAGGAGCAGTCGAACCCAAACTGTCACTATTTTCCACATACCAAAATCCAAACAACGAAAGACACATTGGAACAGCGAAAGGTTCTAAGAGCTCATACTAACGGGCTCCACAAGAGAACACAAGGACTACAGAGGGGACTGGGTGAGCAGGCAAGCCAGGAGAAATCCAAATCCAATTTCAGAGCTAATAGGATTCTTAGCTTTTAAGTTTTCCTTAGCTTACCTGAAAGCACATATATAATATCACATGTCAAACAAATTTTAAACTGTTCTTCTATCACATAACAACTTCATCGTAGAAGCATAACACAGTCCTCGTTTTCTCATTTATTTCAGATTTTCCCTTTTGGTCTTTGTATTTAAATATCACCTGAGCATAGCATGTAGCTCATTGAGCAGAAAACTTTGCTATAACAGGCTGGGTGCTGAGAAGTCATCAGCAACATGGACTAGCAAACAGGCAACATGAGGACAAAGGGTATGAGAAATCCAGTAGCAGCACTAAGGCAGTAGTGATCTCTTAAAGCAGTTGTAAACCAAAGAGAGTCTATTATCACTGGAAAAGCTTCCAGTCTCACACTGTTTCAGCTCATGTCGCCAAGCTGGAAACTCAAAGCCAGATTATTTAGTATTTGTCCAAAGCATTATTAGCTGCTCCAAATGCATGCTTGTCCAGAAGAACCCTAGCAGTCAAGAAGACACTGAAGCTTTGCCAGTAAGATATTAATTTGCACAATACAAGTTTTTTTACCGATCTATAATCATAGAAAGAGCTTTACTTTCTAAAGTATGAACGATAACCAAGCCACCCCTTAATAGTTGCCAGATGAAGACTTGAAATATATTTAGAATCTTCATTTTAAAAATATCTTACGTGCACACCCAAATACCTTTTTCCACAATACAACAATTTGTAAGATAATTTATTAATTGAAACAGCCAATTTGGAACAGAATGCTGTCTAAGAAACTATTGCCAGTATTTTTTAATTCCAGTCTTCATTCTGAAACAGAAGTTACAGTAGGGAAGTTTTAGTTTCAAAAACTGAGTTCAGTTATGACAAATCTCTTTTTGCACTTCCCCCCCGTTTTGTTTAATCTTTATCTTTAGTGAGGCGTCCATCCAGATATTCTCTCACAGAATCACAGAATCCCAAGGGTTGGAAGGGACCTCAAGAGATCATCTGGTCCAACCCCCCTGCAAGAGCAGGGTAACCTAGAGTACATCACACAGGAACTTGTCCAGGCGGCCCTTGAATATCTCCAATGTGGGAGACTCCACAACCCCCCTGGGCAACCTGTTCCAGTGCTCTGTCACTCTCACAGTAAAGAAGTTCTTCCTGATGTTAACGTGGAACCTTCTATGCTCCAGTTTACACCCACTGCCCCTTGTCCTATCACTGGATATCACTGAAAAAAGCCTAGCTCCATCATCCTGACACCCACCCGTTACATATTTGTAAACACTGATGAGGTCACCCCTCAGTCTCCTCTTCTCCAAGCTGAAGAGACCCAGCTCCTTCAGCCTCTCCTCATAAGGGAGGTGTTCCACTCCCTTAATCATCTTTGTGGCTCTGCGCTGGACTCTTTCAAGCAGTTCCCTGTCCTTCTTGAACTGAGGGGCCCAGAACTGGATGCAGTATTCCAGATGCGGCCTAACCAAGGCAGAATAGAGGGGGAGGAGAACCTCTCTTGACCTACTAACCACACCCTTTCTAATGCACCCCAGGATGCCATTTGCCCTCTTGGCCACAAGGGCACATTGCTGGCTCATGGTCATCCTCCTATCCACCAGGACCCCCAGGTCCCTTTCCCCTTCGCTACTTTCCAGCAGGTCAGTCCCCAGCCTGTACTGGTACATGGGGTTGTTCTTCCCCAGATGCAAGACTCTACACTTGCCCTTGTTGAATTTCATCAAATTTCTCCCCACCCAACTCTCCAGCCTGTCCAGGTCTCGCTGAATGGCAGCACAGCCTTCTGGTGTGTCAGCCATTCCTCCCAGTTTAGTGTCATCAGCGAACTTGCTGAGAGTACACTCGGTTCCCTCATCCAGGTCGTTGATGAAAATATTAAACAGCACTGGTCCCAGCACCGACCCCTGAGGCACTCCACTAGTCACAGACCTCCAGCTAGATTCTGCACCATTGACCACAACTCTCTGCCTTCTTCCTTCCAACCAGCTCTTGATCCACCTCACCACCTGATCGTCAAGCCCACACTTCCTTAGCTTATCTATGAGAATGCTGTGGGAGACAGTATCAAATGCCTTACTGAAATCAAGAAAAACCACATCTACTGCTCTACCATCATCCCTCCACCTAGTCACTTCTCATAGAAGGCTATAAGGTTGGTCAAACATGACTTCCCCCTCATAAAACCACTCCCCCTTCTCACTGGAGAACCAGTAAGATACTCCCCCTCCTCAAAAGGAGAAGAAAATAAGATGAAAGAGCTCATGGTCAAGATCAGGACAGGGAGATCACCCACCAATTACAGTCACAGGCAAAACAGACTAAACTTGGGTAAGATTTATTGCCAATTAAAATCGGGTAAGATAGTAAGAAACAAAAACGAAGGTTTGAAAGCACCTTTCCCCCACACCCCTTCTTCCCTGGCTCAACTTCATTCCTTTATTTCCCACTCCTCTACACCCCATCCCCTTCTATAAGTAGCAGAGGGGACAGGAAATGGGGGGTTATAGTCAGTCCATAACAGCACCTCTCTGCTGCTCCTTCCTCCTCCTGCTCCTGTTCCCCTGCACCAGCTTGGGGTCCCTCCACAGGAGACAGCCCTTCAAGAATTGCTTCAGCATGGGTCCTCACCATGCAGCACAATTCCTGCCAGAAAACCTGCTCAGTGTGGGCTCTTCACAAGCCATCGCTCCTGCCAGGAGGCTGCTGTGGCATGGACTCTCCATGCGCTGCAGCTTCCTTCAGGATCTATCCACCTGTTCTGGTGTGGGGTCCTCCATGGGCTGCAGTGTGAATATCTGCTCCACTGTGGAACACCATGGGCTTTAGGGACACAGACTGCTTCACCATAGTATGCACCATGGGCTGCAGGAGAATCTCTTCTCTCATGCCTGGAGCACCTCTTCCTCTCCTTCTGCACTGGCCTTAGCGTCTGCAGGACTGTTTCTCTCACA